GGGAATGGGGATGAGGGAATGGGGAGGAGGAGGGGGTGGCAGTTGACCAGCAAGTCTGGAAGTCAGACTGCTCAGCACCATTATAAGGCATGTGCCTCCCCCCTTTCCCCCCCCATCTCTTGACTCTGATTTCCTCTATGTTGACTATTCTCCAGAAGGTAGTGGCAAATCTTTAAGGAGAAGAGGGGCAAAATCGGACAGAAAAACTAACAACTGTATTACAAATTGTTTGTACAAGTTTAACAAACATTTCTGGAGCTCCTATTGTGTGCTAGGAAATATAAAGATGAAAGACAAGTTCTAGGCATTGAAAGGTTCACTTGTAAACTTGAGGGTCACACATGTAACAATGTAGCTTTGAGGGTTAAATGCTATGAGAATGTATACACGGAAACACGGGACCACTTAGAGAGGTTCCTAACCCGGCCTAGGGGATCAAGGAAGGCTGCTTAGAGGAAGCGATGACTCAGAGAGAGCTGTCTCATAAAGAACAGCAAGAGTTTTATAAAAGCAAGGTGAAAGAAGGTATTCCAGGAATTCTCATCTTGGGCAAAAGGCACAGAAGGAAAAAAACAAAAACATGACTTGTTTGGATGAATTCCAAGTAATTTCAGTTCTCTTAGATTTTAAGGGATGAGAGAGGCTTTGAAGGTGATAAGGTTGGACTACAGAGGCAAGCACTGGTTCCTGACAGGACAGGACTTGAATGGCATTCCAAGGAGTTTAGAGTTTATCCCGTAGGTGCAGGGGAGTAGCAGTCTGACTTGTGTTAGTTATGCTGGCAGTCGTGTGATGGGTCGGTTGAAGCTGAAGTTCTGCTGAAGGGAAGTTAGAGTTTTATTACAACAGCCCAAGCAAAAGATGATGAGGCTTGAACTTGAACAGTGAGAGTTGGAGAGAAGGAACAGACCCAAGATACTCGGAAAGTAGGAAAAGCAGAACTTAGTGGAATTGGATATGGAGAGTGAGGGGAATGAGGTAGACTCATTAGGAGGGCTCCCAGGTTTCTGGCTTTGGTAGCTGGATAGATAATAGTGTCACTGAGCGGATGAACACAGAAGAAGCAGTAGATTTGTGATTTGTGGGAAGGAGGAGGGATGTAAGTTCAGTTTTGAACAAACTAGATTTGAGGGTAGCACATGTGGACTGGAGAGAGATTGGAAGCCATCGATACATTAGTAGTGATTAAAACCATTCCAATGTGCAGTCAACTATTAAAAATAATGCTGCTATGAACATGAATATACAAATATCTCTTCAAGACCCTGCTTTCAATCCGTCTGGCTATATACCCAGAAGTGGAATTACTGGATCATACTCTGTGTTTAATTTTTTGAGAAACCACTATACTGTTTTCCATAGTGGCTGCACCATTTTACATTCCCACCAGCAGGCATCGTCTAATCCATAGAGGGCCCAAATAGAACAAAAGGGAAAGGAAGGGTGAATTTCCTCTCTTCTTAAGCTGGGACATCCTTCTGATATCAGAGCTCCTGATTCTCAGGCCTTCAGACTTTAGGATTTATCATTAGCCGCCTCCTAAGTTCTTAGGACTTCTTTGGACTCAGACTGGTTCTCTAGCTTAAAGATGGCGTATTGTACGACTTTTTGGCTTCCGTAACTACATGAGCCCAATTCTATAATAAATCTCCTCTTATCTCTCTCCCTCTTTATATATCCCATTAATTCTGGTTCTCTGGAGAACCCTTTACTAAAACAGAAAGTAATTGCCTTCTTACCTCTTACTACTTTTATTATCTTCTCTTTGTTCTTGATTTTTAACACTTTTACTGTGATAGGCCTAACTACCTTTGTATTTATTCTGCTTAAAACTTTGTCTTACTCATCTTCATAAATCCAGCAGAGTGTCAGACATGTAGTAGCTACTCTTTAATCTGTGTTAAACAAATGAAATCCATAGCTTCCCACAGATATTTAAGGAAGCAATGCTTGAATTCCCCCCCACCCTGCACTTTGTTCTTCCAGTGACTCTATTCTGAATTCCAATCTTTGTGATCTCTTTCCTGGCCCCTGTTCCTGGCCCCTGGACTTAATTGGCATTGAGACATGATTTTTCTCATGTTGAATTCTACTTTCTCCAGCTGCTTTTACTCGGCTACCCTCAGAGTCTCAGTGTCCCATGGGACATTAATCCCCTACCCCCAACCCAGTGTGTGTGTGTGGGGGGGGAGCAATTCAGACATTAGAAATAATGAAGAAGAGTTTTAAAATTCTTGTTAAAAAAGATA